TAGAACTCCAAATATCAGACAAGGCACGTGAAGGCAGAAGCCATGGCATTTACGCAGTAATCAGTCATTCCATCTCCAGCAGGGCCACCACTGGGAACCAATAAATTAGTGTTGAGTTATTTTATTTATTTATGTATTTCAAACAATAAAGGAAAAGGCTTATAAAATCACTAATTAAAGAGATATAAATGTATATGTTTTATCTTTAGCATTTTTTATATAAAAACAATACTTGTTCATGAAAAGCAAGATAGTCTGTTCTGTCATCAAGAAATAATCACTCTTACATGTTTTGGTGTAGATCCTTCAAGATTTTTTCTGGAGTATATTTTCATAATAATAGGTAAATGAGCAATATAGTAAGATAGATTAGGATGCACGCCATTTGGAAAAGCCAGGAAAAATGCCTATTGCTTATTACTCTTTTTACATTTCTGTCTCTTTAAAAAAATATGTAAGTGCAGAATATAGCATATCTAAACAGCATGGGCTCAGATGTCTTCTTTGTTATATCTCAGTGACAAGGAATTAGGGAAGATGTTTTGCATTCCTTCCTTTAGCTTTTTTAGGTTTGTTAGCCTTCTGCGGGAAAGAGATTCTAAAATTTGTAAGATTCAGAATAGCTAGAGTTTTAAATCCCATTCCATATGAGGTCATGAGAATTTTAAAATAATTCCTTGGACCATCCAGAATAGGCCTAGTTAAACACAGTTGGTGCCATGTGATATTGTTTGCCAACATTAATGATTTTTAGTTATTTTGCCCCTTTTTGTGAAGAGTAGATTGAATCACGTCAGAGAAAAAAAGTAATGGAAAAATGTAGTACCTTAGGAAGATTAAATGAGGATTACTCCTCAGAGGACAATTGAAGCTTGTGTAAAACGATACTCAAGAATTAAGGAAAATAATTTTGCTCACAGATACCAAGCATCATTAGTTTTTGTTTTTGTTTTCATTTGTTTATTAAAACAAAGGTGTACAAAAGAGTAGATACAGTAAGAGAGCTTAGGAGAAAGAGTTGTATTTAACTCTTTATATATTGTTTTTCTACATAGCTAGTCTTACTTTCTACTACTTTTCTGTCAGTTTGTTCTACTGTGGTGGCTTGTGTGTGGCTGTGATGCTGAGAGCTATGCCACCAGTATTTCAAATACCAGCAGAGTCATCCATGGTGGACAGATTTCAGCGGACCTTCCAGACTAAGACAGACTTGGAAAAAAAAAGCCTAGCTACCTACTTCTGAAAAAGTTGGCCAGTGGAAAATCTTAGTTAGAACATTGTGTGATATAGAAAGTCTCTCAAAATACAACTGGAAAAGAGCTACTTCCTTAAAGTAGAGTTAATGACATGGATGGAATAAAGCTTTGAAGACCTTCGATTGCTCATGTGGCACAAGTCAAAATGAGAAGAAACAGCTGCAGATACCCATTAATAATTGGAATGTGGAATGTACAAAGTATGAAACTAGCAAATTGGAAGTCATCAAAAATGAAATGGAACAAATAAAGATAAATATCCTAGGCATTAGTGAGTTGAAGTGGACTAATATTGGCCATTTTGAATCAGACAATCATATGGCCTACTGTGCTGGGAATGACACATTGAAGAGGAATGGTATTGTATTCTCTGTCCAAAAGAATATTTAGAGATCTATTCTGAATTAAAATGCTTTTGATGATAGGATGATATCAATACGTGTACAAAGATGACTAGTAATTATGACTGTTATTCAAATTTATGCAACTATAATGCAAAAGATGAAGAAATGGAAGATTTTTACCAACTCCTACAGTCTGAAATTTAGCTAACATACAATCTAGATGCATTGATAATTGCTGGTGATTAGAATGTAAAAGTTGGAAACAAAAGAAGGCGGCTTAGTAGTTGGAAAACATGGCCTTGGTGATAGAAACAAAGCCAGACATCATATGATAGAATTTTGCAAGACCAACAACTTACTCATTGGAAATTTCTTTTTTTAAACAATATCAACAGTGACTGCCACATGAATCTCACCAGATGGAAGAGGCAGGAATCAAATCAACTACATCCGTGGAAAAAGGTGACAGAGAAGCTCAATATCATTAGTCAGAACAAGGCCAGGGGCTGACTGCGGAACAGACCATTAATTACTCATATGCAAGATCAACTTGAAGCTAAAGAAAATTAAAACAAGTCCCTGAGAGCCAAAATATGACCTTAAGTATATCCCACTTGAATTTGACGACCGTCAGAAAAATAGATTTGACACATTGAACACTAATGATCAAAGACCAGACTAGTTGTGGGATGACATCAAGGACATAATATATGAAGAAAGCAAGAGGTCATTAATAAGATAGGAAGGAAAGAAAACACCAAAATGCATATCAGAAGAGACTCTGAAACTTGCTCTTGAATGGAGAATAGCTAAAGTAAATGGAAAAACTGGTGTAAAAGAGCTGAACAGAAGATTTCAAAGGCTGGCTTGAGAAGGAAAAAGTATTGTAATGAAATGTGCAAAGACTGCAGTTAGAAAGTAAGAAGGGAAGAACATGCTCAGCATTTCTCATGCTGAAAGAATTAAGAAAAATTCAGTCTTCGAGTTGCAGTACTGAAGGATTCTATGGGCGAAATATTGAATGACACAGGAAGCATCAAAAGAAGAAAAGAAGATGGAAGGAATACATCGGGTCACTGTACCAAAAGTAATTGGTCAATGTTCAACCATTTCAGAAGATAGCATAGGTTGAAGAACCGATGTTACTGAAGGAGGAAGTCCAAGCTGCACTGAAAGCACTGCAGAAAAACAAGGCTTCGGAAATGGATGGAATACTAATTGAGATGTTTCAGCAACCTGATGCAGTGCTAGAAGTGCTCACTCATTTATGCCAAGAAATTTGGAAGACAGCTGTCTGGCTATCCGATTGGAAGAGATCCATATTTGTGCCCATTTCAAAGAAAGTTGATCAAACATAGTGTGGACATTCTTGAACAATATTGTTAATATCATATGCAAGCAAAGTTTTGCTGAGGATAATTTAAACAATTGCAGTAGTACATCAGCAGGGAACTGCCAGAAATTCAAGCCAGTTTCAAAAGAGGTCATGAAATGAGGGATATCATTGTTGATGTCAGCTGGATCTTAGCTGAAACCAGAGAATACTGGAAAGATGTTTACCTGTGTTTTATTGATTATGTAAAGGCATTCAATAGTGTGGATCATAACAAATTATGGATAACATTACAAAGAATGAGAATTCCAGGACACTCCATTGTGCTCATGCGGAACCTGTTACAGAGGAAGAGGCATTCATTCAAACAGAACAAGAGGATCCTGCATGGTATTAAATCAGGAAAGATGTATGTAGGGTTGTATCCTTTCACAGTACTTAATCTGTGCTGAAAAAATAATTTGAGAAGCTGGACTATGTGAAGAAGGTGGCATCAGGATTAGAGGAAGATTTTAACAACCTGTGATATGCAGATGACACAACCCTACTTGCTGAAAGTGAAGAGGGTTTGAAACAATGATGAAGATCAAAGTCTTCAATATAGATTACAATGGATAAGGAAGACGAAAGAATAATTGATGCCTTTGAATTTTGGGTTTGAAGAAGCATATGAAATACATCATGGATTGCCAGAAGAACAAACAAATCTGTCCGGAAGAAATACAGCCAGAATGCTCCTTAGAAGCAAGGATGACAAGACTTTGCCTCACGTATTTTGAGCACGTTACCAGGTGGACCAAACCAAAAAACCACCATACCCACTGCCATAGAGTCAATTCCGACTCACAGTCACCCTTTTAGGACAGAGTAGAACTGCCCCATAGCATTTTCAAGGCTGTAAATCTTTGTAGAAGTATACTTTCTTATCTTTCTCCCACAGAAAAGGACATCATGCTTGGTAGAGTGAGAGTGAAAAAGATGGATTATCTCAGTGGCTGCAACAGTATGCTCAAGCATAGCAATGATTGTGAGAATGGCACAGGACCAAGAAGGGTTTTGTTCTATCGTGCATAAAGTCACTATGAATTGGAGCCAACTCAACAACTTGTGGTAGTTAAGGTTATGTCAACTTGGCTGGGCAGCAGGATTTAGTTATTCCCTGTGATGAGACTGGTAATCAACTGCATGGTGGAATCTACTGAAGCAGCTGAGGAGCTGCCTTCAGGGTGTGCTCTTATTCCAGTATATAAGTATAAGCATTGAGAAAGGTCTCTGCAGCTTTTTGGCACACTTGGACCCTGCATGTGGCAGAGTCTTCATCTTCATAGCCTGCCTTGTTGTCTGCCAATCTTGGGGCTGTAAATGGACTTGAATTATGGCCTGCCATGTGGTATGATCATTTTGGGACCATGCCATTTTACTTGTCGACCTTCAGTTTGTCAGCCTCAGCAGCCAGCAGCTGAGTCAGTTAAGAGAAGCCTCCAGACTCACTGGGCTGGGAGCAAGAGGCAGAGCTGAAGCCCAGGGTTGAGAGTCTTTTACCCAGCCCCAAGAGCTTGGCACTTTGAACTTAGACTTCTAGCCTGTAAGAGAATAAACTCCTATCTGTTAAAGCTACCCATTTGTGGCATTTTCTATTAGAGTGGCACTAGAGAACTAAAACAGCCCTTAAAAATAATTTTACTTTAGGATTTTCTCTAGTGTACCATTTGAGTCTTCAGCTTCCATTTGTCTTTATGTAATACGCTCTACCTTTGTCACACCTCTTTGGGGTCCTTTCTGCCCCAGGTCTTCCACACAGCCTGCTTTCACTGCGCCCCTCTCTGGCAATGCCTGGCTTCTCTGAATTCCTACTAAAATTCCTGTCTTCTTCCCCCATTTTATTCTACGTAACTAGATTATACAATGTAGTATAATTACTAGATTGTATAATCTGCTTTGTGGGGTAGGTCCCGTCTCTTTTAAAATCTTCACTGTGTTACCAAGCTAATGGGTAAAAAAGGGTCACACTTTTTCTTTTTTTTCATTTGTAAAACCTTCACTTGCCTTTTTTGTTCTTTTCACTAGATGAGAAGCAAAGATTCAGTTATGAGAGGTCAGGCTATGATATTGAAGACTCGGATGGCCCTGATGAGGACGACAATGAGAATGAAGATGATGATGATGATAGCCAGGCTGAGTCTGTCCTGTCCGCAGCCCCCTCAGTTGCAGCTAGCCCACAGCACCTGCCATCCAGAAGTAGCCTGCAGGACTCCATGAGTGCAGATGAAGAGACCAGAATCCCTGATTGCTTTTCTGGGGCACATGCAGACCCCATGGACGTTCTACCAAGAGCACTGCTCACCAAGATGACAGTACTTAGCACGGTACATTCAGACCATGGGCAGAAGACACGGTCTCCTGGGAGCACCAGACTACATGTTACAGTAGATGAAAATGAGCCGATCACTTGTGTAGACTCTTCGAGGTCCCTGGAAGCTACACCAAGATCCCCATGTCATCAGATGTCTGTGGACTGTTCGGAAGCAGAAGTTGTCCTGAGGAGCTCTGTGTCAGGAAATGCTGTTGCTTTAACACAGGTAAATGATCCTTTTGCTGTTTACCTTTTACTAGTCTATGAAATGTGGGAAACCTCGTGGCTTAAGAGAAGGCAGTGGTGATGCAGTGGTGGACTTCTCACCTTCCATTCAGGAGACCTAGGTTCTATTCGCAGCCAGTGCACATCATGTGCAGCCACCTCTGTCAGTGGAGGCTCTTACACTGCTTTGATGTTGAACGGGTTTTAGCAGTGCTTCCAGACTAAGACAGATTAGGAAGAAAGGCCTGGGAATGTGCTACCAAAAATCAGCCAATGAAAACCCTATGGCTCACAACTCATGGGTTACTGTGAGGTGAGGGCCAGTTCAGTGGCAGCCTACAATAGCAATGGCTTAAAAGAATAATGTACTTAACAGAATAATGATTGATCACCAGGATTTGTATAACTTTGTGCAAAGATTTTTTGTTACATTTACAAGTAAAGGCCATTTACACCTGCTCTTTGGGTTCTTCTTAGGTATATTAATTGGATTTCACATTTTGTATTATAAATCTGTGAATAAACCAATGGTTCTTGAAAGTAACACCTATTTTTTTTATTATTTGTTTTTTCAAAAAATTATAATTTAAAAAGTGAAAAATTGTTTCCGTTGAGAACAAGAATCCTGGAACTTATTTATCCCATGACTTACTGTGAGTTTTTCCACTGGTGTTGATGTGATGAGTTTGCACTTAATGAGCCAAATGTTTCATGTTTTGCCCCTCTTGGCAAGACAGTTACCAGTTTCTATGGCAAAGTTAATGTGACCTAATAAACACATCAAGAAGTCCACTTTGTTGGAAGTAGTCGGATAGTTGCAACAGCTTGGGAAACACTCCTGCTGGAGAGCTGCCTTAGGGCCAAGCCCAGGCTCCGGAAAGGCACTGTTAGCCTACTGGAAGGCGTGCCTGCATTCATTCCTACTGTCTTGGGAAGAATGATTAATTCTGTGAGGAATTCATCCTCTCATTGATATTTCTCTTACCTCAAGTATATACTGAATATTTTGATAGCATTTATGTCTAAATGTGGCATATTTTCATTTGAAGAAAAATAAGAGAACTATAAAAGCTTGTATTTCTGCAAACTCTCTACTCTAATGTATCTCTTAAATATTGTCAAGGAGAAACAAAAATTTAAATAATAATCTGGGTAGAAGGGAGGATGGGCAAGATGTATTCCTACTGATAAGATTTTAATATTGATCACCCATTTACTAAGCTTCTCTATTCCTAAGTCTCTCTCATATCTACCAATGCCTAAAACCATGTCTGGTTATCAGGAGACATTTCAAAACCTCGTTGAATAAATGAACACACAAACAGATGAACACTGACAGACCTTTCTCTATGACAACTATTTCACAAATGAAACAATCCTTTGGTTAATTTTTCCCTTGAGTTGATATTCACAACCAACCAATACCTCAGTTTCTCAGTGACTCCTAATCTCAAAAATGGAATGGAGCAGGTGGCCCCAGTAAAAATAATAACAACAATATAAAATATGCCATTATGGCCACTGTTCAGTATAAAATTAGATGATGTCTAGCAAATTTGTCTGAAAAATGCAAGGTGTTGCTTTTATTTATACTAAAAAAAAAAAATAAATGGATTAAAGATGTAATGGATACATCTATTACAAACTTATTATTAAAAATCAAAATAAAGCCTAAAATACTTTTCCCTAATGAGGAAGAATAGTTTTTATGCTAGCATTTTATGGAATTTGGAATCATTGTTTAAGTGGGGGAATAGTGGTTCAGTGGTAGAATTTTCACTTTCCTTGCAGGAGACCAGGGTTCCATTCCCAGCCACTAATGCAGCCACTACCGTCTATTGGTGGAACTTGCAAATTGCTGTGATGCTGAACACGTTTCAGTAGACCTTCCAGACTAAGAGTAGGAAGCAAATCCTGGCAATCCACTTCCAAAATCAGCCATTGAAAACCCTACGATCACAATGGTCTGATCTGCCACTGATCATGGGATAACCAGGACCAGGTGCATCTTCTTCTTTTGTGCATGGTGTTTTGCCATGAATCAGGGGCCAACTCAGTGGCAGCTTAGCATTTAAGAAAGCTGTGTGATAAAAGGATTGTTCTCTTTTGTCCTTCAGAACACATCTTCTGTGAGACTTCCTCCTCTTGCATTGGAGCTCAGCTCTCAGCCAGCCATGGTGGTTTCCTCAGTGGCCTTGCCTCATCCTGACATTCAAGAACAGAAGCAACAAATAAGTGTACACCCGACTCCAGGCTTGCCTTCTCCCCAGACTCATTTATTTAGCCACCTTCCTTTGCATTCCCAACAGCAATCAAAGACACCTTACAATATGGTTCCAGTTGGGGGGATCCATGTGGTACCTGCTGGCCTCACATATTCTGCATTTGTACCAATTCAACCAGGATCAATGCAGCTCACAATTCCTGCCGTCAGTGTAATCCACCGAACTGTGGGCACCCCCGGGGATGCTATCACAGAAGTTTCTAGCACTACAAATCCCACTGGAGTGGCTGAACTAAGCAGTGTTGTGCCATGTATTCCCATTGGCCAAATTCAGGTGCCGGGCCTTCAGAACCTCAGCACACCAAGTTTGCCCTCACTCCCCTCACTCAGCATGGAAACTGTCAATATCTTAGGCCTAGCCAACACAAACATTGCCCCACAAGTGCATCCACCAGGCCTAGCTCTGAATGCTGTTGGCCTGCAGGTTTTAACTGCAAACCCTTCCTCACAAAGCAGCCCCAGCACTCAGGCACACATTCCAAGTCTCCAGATCGTGAACATTGCGTTGCCTACTCTGATTCCCTCAGTGGGTCAAGTGACTGTTGATGCCCAGGGAACTTCGGAAGGACCAGTGCCCCAGAACCAAGCATGTGAGAGACAACCCAAGCCAACTCCAGCAGCCAGTGCAAATCAGGTCAGCAGGGCCGAATCTCCTCAGGGGTCACCTAAAGTCCTGCGGGAAAATGCAAAAAAATTACTCAATTCGTCTGCCCCTGCCGGTGACCTCGAAAGGCTGGATGGTGCAAGTGAAGTGGCCACTGTGAAGGCTGCCTCAGTCAATCATGTCACGCCAAAGCATGAACTCCCCTCCACGCAGGCTGAGCAGGTGTCCACATCTGATGTTCTGCTAGAATTGCATCTGGAAGGGTCCACCAAGCCTGTGGGTGTCCACACCCTCTCTCCACACCGACGGGCTCACCGGCCCACAGGCCCACCCCGAAGGCAGGCCATTGTGCAGTTCAGTGATGTGAGCAGTGACGATGACGATGAGGACCGGCTTGTCATAGCGACCTAGTGGTTTCTATTTTTTCTTGTTTTGGGTTTTTTTTTTTTCAAATATAACACTTAAAGGTTTTTTTTTTAAAAAAACCCTCCTTTCCTTAAAGCACATTTTTCTGACATAAACTCATTACTAATCTTTGTGCAATCATGAACTTTTGACCAATAATTGTTTTGTGTCTGCTCCAACCATTTTTGTACATGTTGTATAGACAATTGTGCCTTTTAGGAGTTTTATGTTTAGAAACTGTACAGATTGTTGAATATCTATATACATAAAATATATATTATATATGTATATTAAAACCAGGTAGTCATTTGTGTTTAGTACAGACAACCTGTCAAATAAATCAAATGATTAAATTATATGTTGCACTGTTAAATATAAATTTTTATGGCCATGGGGCAGAGTTTCTGTGTACAATTAGTATGTAAAATCCATATTTATTGTATTCATATTAGTCTTTGAAAATGGGTCTGTCCTTCTTGTGTAAGACAGTAACTTTACACGTCAGACAGATTTTCTGTGTTACGAAATGTTTCAGTAAAATATTGTTTACTGACTTTACCATGGTTCTAGTTGTGCCTTCTTTATGCCACCTGTTGTTGTTGTTGTTGTTATGTGCCGTCGAGTCGGCCCGACTCATAGCGACCCCTCCCTGGGTTTTCGAGGCAGTATCACTACGGAAGTAGGATTGCCCAGCCTTCCTTCCGAGGAGTGGCTGGTGGGTTTGAACCGCCAGCCATCTGGTTAGCAGGCAAGTGACTTAGCCACTATGCTACCAGAGCTCCCTTATGCCACCTAGTGATCAGTAATTGCATCTGGAAAGTAGCCCCAGACTATGTTCTTTCTGCACTCACTCCTCCTCTGCTTCTACGAAATGAGGGCTTTTAGTGGTGTGGTTTCTACCATGTGAAGTTGTAACTGAGCTCCATTCAAATGAGAACTATTTTTCTCATTCATGAGTAACTCTGTAGTCATTAACTTATTAGAAGACTCAATATTTAAAAATACCTTCTGTAAGGAAATAGCACACAGTCTGAAATGGACAAACTTCCTAAATGTGGGTATGAAAATTTTTGGTGAAAATAAGAAACAGACAGCCTTCCTGAGGGCTTGGCTTGGCTGACGCCCCTGACATCCCCTTCCTCAGGCTCTAGTCCCCGATCTGTTCTGAGCTGTGACACTCAAAGAGGTCTGTGCAGCATAAACCACAGAGGAGCCAAGATTTGCTGAAGAACCAGATTCAGACTGTTAAATTACTTAAGTAATTTACTTTACAAATGATTACTTCCCATCCTGGGAAATAACTGTACTTACTACTTCAGAAAATGGTAGGGTCGGGGACAATATTGGCCCACAATTACCACTGCAAAAATCTGCATTATTACATAAGCATTAAGGCTGCTCTGTTTGTGAGAAAATGGCTTTCTGCTGTGAATGATATTTAGCACATCATAAGGAGATGCGTTCCCATTTTCAGCGACTTCTAAAAACCTTTGAAGTTAAGGGCATAAAGTTGGTGAGGCAACAGAGTTTGGGGGGACATATTCTGAGGACTATGGAGACCCACGGCTAGTGGGCCCCCACTTGCCTGTGACCTGGCAAAGGCACCTGCATTCCCAACCTGAAAAATGCTCTCTAGGACACATACCACCTTCTGCAGATGCCGGGGCTCAGGAAGTTTTAGGTATCTGCATTGGTTTACATTTCCACACATTAACAAAGTTCTCCGAAACAATAAGCCTGTATTTTAGGTTACAGATAGATTTGAAAAGAATTCTGGAAACTTCTATTACAGGAATTTAATTGCTCTGTCAGAGTTCCTGGATGGTGTAAACAGTTAACATGCTCAGCTGCTAACTGAGAAGGTGGAGGTTCAAGTCCACTCAGAGGTGCCTTATAAGAAAGGCCTGGGGATCTGCTTCTGAAAATCTGTCACTGAAAAACCCTGTGGAGCATGTTCTACACTGATACTCAGGAGGTTGCCACAAGTCTGAATCAACTCAATGGCAACTAGTTTGGTTTTATTCCTCTGTCAGTATAGTTGCTGAAAATCAGGTCCACTATGAAGTTTCTCCAAATTAGCCCATTCATATTAATGGCTTTGTATTACACTTTTTTTTTTTTTTATCTAAAATGTTAAAACAGTATAATAAAACATTCTTAATTCCATAATCATTTATATCTGATTTCTCTGAATTCAAAATTAATGCTTAGTATTTCAGTATATACATTTTATTAATTTAAAGAATTCCTACATTTAACTAAAGACTAAACGTTTTGATATGTTGGGATGGTCCCTGAAAATTTTCACAATGTTCAAATATACCTTAAACTTGTTACATGCTCTTGGTTTCTCAAGATTCATTACATTTTACATGTGTCTTTGATATTACTGACTGAAATACTTTAATGTACTTTTTCAGAGATGATGCTAGTATTTGAAATATGAATCTGTGTAAGAATTCTTATCAAAATCTATGCCATCATGTTTTAAAGTGAACAAAAAATATACAGAAATTAATATAGTGAATCTTTACCTTTCTCCAAAGTCATTTTTCCTGAAGAGCACTGTCCATTTGATGTCCCTAAATACAAATGACTTGCAAATAATGTAATTCAGAGAACTGTTGAGAAAATATTTGAATTGTATTCTGTTGTATTGTCATAAAATTCCCAAATCAGTAGAGAAATACAGCACAAGGACATAGCAAATCTCTGATAAAGTACTGGCAAAACAGGTGAAAACCATAATGTAGTACATTGAAGAATCAGTCTTCTTGCATGAATCAAATATTGGACATAGCTGAAGAACTGAAACTCATTTGTCTGTTTTTCATAAAAACCTGTTAAGTTAACATTAGGTGGCGGGGCAAGATGGCGGACTAGGCAGAAGGATTGCACAGACCCTCTTCAACAAAGAAAAGGGAAACCAATTAACACAGACACAGAAGATAA